GTATGTGGCCTACAGGACCGACGTCACACTTTGAGTAATAAAAATAGGCCTCTGGTGATTTTTTCCATTCTTTCCACATCTGGCTGGAAGGTCACCCAGGTTGACTTTTTTCTGACCACCGTCAGTTCAAACGTTGCGAACGGTGATGTCCAAGGTGCGCTCCATGTGATGATGGTACAGTTGCAGTGGATACATCCCGAGTGCATGTTTTAACGCTGAACCTCTCGTCCCTCGCGACTGCTTGCACTTGCACATTAGTGGATCCCAATCCAGGCTGTCCTTACTGGTATATCTCCTTACAAACTTACTTATGCATTTAATCTTAGTTATTTATCCTAGTCTACATGGCCCTCCTGGATGTACTGTGGTTCTCCCCCGCTCTAACATTTTAGACGCCGCCATCACGGCTCCGGGCGTGTACTCGTCTGACTGCCAACTTCTTCCAACACATTCCTCAGTAGTTATCTAAAGAATAAAGAATTTCTCCCAACTGGCGTCCCATTTCTTCTCTTTCCACACAGAACCTGATCTGAAGATCCTAGCGGCTAGAGTCTGTCCCAACAACTTACGCTGCTGCGATACCGTCAAAATAAATTCGTTTATGATAGCAGCAGAATTCTACAGTCTACTGCTTTCGAATACTTTTTACTTAAATAGATGCCAGCGAACAAAACTAAAGTTTATATCGGTTTGGAGACTGGTAGTAGGTTTTGTCTCCTTTACCACCTTAATAGTATCTCAAACCTCGTCGTGATTTATTTCCTTGCGCTCGTTAGTAGTCCACACAGCCTACGTAATTCTGCACTGATAATACCTCCTTATGTTTTCTTCCAGGTATAGTTTTCATTGGAATAACCTGCCAATCGAAATTAAGTTGTTAACTAGTCTTTCTGCTTTCAAGCGACGACTGCGCATTTCTTTTAACACCCACTCGAGTAAACTTTTATTTTTCTCATTATTTCCGAGCAACTTTCTCCATGATCCAAAGAAAGGAGCATCGGTAAATTAGAAAACCATCTGCAAAATAACTTTCTATGTATCGTCTCTTCCGCGAATCATGAACCAATCAAGTTATCGTAATAATACTGACATACATAGTTTGAACCGTTTCCATGTCGTCTGCTGCTAACCATAATCAGAATTCCATTCTGGTTCTTGAGATTCAGATTTCTCACGTCCACTGACGCTTTTTCCGAATTTTTATGCGTGGTAGTGCTCCCAGGCACACTATTTTAGCCTTTTATCTTAATATTCTGGATTGCCGTTAAAGTATCGACCTACCCTACTCCTCCATAACTTTTCGTGAAATACTATTTTTCCTGCAGTCTTTTTTGCACGTGTGAGCTCGCCGAACTTTCCCACGCTTTCATCGTAAAAGTGTTTCCACCATTTCTTTCATAGTTAACCATTATTTTCTAAAAAAAAATAAATATCCTTTTAAAAGGACGAAAAGCCGGTGGATGTGAAATATTCTGCCTACCAAACTACTTGTATCTTTTTACAACTAGCCACTCACACGGAGCACCAATGTGCAAATTTTTATGATTTTACCTCAGTACCATGTTTGTTTTGATAGTACTTTCTGCGCGCTTCAAATAAAAAAATGTATCTTTTGACAGAAAAGATTCTTTGGGAAACAGGAACAAACTTTATTGTAAATTTTCAACGCTGGCACACCAGATCGTCTTCGGGCGCGAGGAAAATGTGTGAAAAGCAATGCGCACTACTCTTTACACATTTTCCTCGCGTCCGAAGACGATCTGGTGTGCCAGCGTCGAAAATTTACAATCAAGTTTATTCCTGTTTCACAAAGAATCTTTTCTATAAAATTATATTTCTTGGGATGCTATTTTCAAATTCATACAAATGTATCTTTTTTACCTGTTATCCATCTGGTGGCTCGTTGGTGGACTACTGGAGGAGGAATCAAGCGCATAGTTTGGCCAGGCTAAACTCCCCGCCAACGATTACAATACCCGCGTGGTCTGTATACGCTGTACTAGCATCTTTGCATGCCCGTTTTTGTCGGTATGCTGAGTGCGTAGTCACGCGCGAGCATTACACAGAAGATCCCGGCCCGGGGTAAACTGTGCGTGCTGTTATGTGTCAAGGCTTTAGCACTTGTTGGGTGGCCGGTATGTGATGTTTATTTCTGGCCATTTCACAGGGTAGGTGTCCATAGGCATTGCGATGGGCCTGACATTGAGGAGGATAGGAGTAAATGAATACCCTTTGTCTCCATTTTTGTTACTGCAAATCTTCCCAGAATCGTCTCATTGTATGTGACGCGACTTGTCGTTCCTTCATGCATTTAGCATACCATGGACGATGCACTTCAGACATCAGAAGTTACTTATTCACTTCATACGTTTGTTTCGATCCAAATTATCGAAGACCGCCAAGAATTCTATGGAAGTAGAGTAGAGGCTTTCATCAATCTTCCTAACATACCTCCTGCAGCGCTCAGACCGTGAAGATTATGTCGACTGTTACATGTTTTCTGCTGAACCCGCACCTGCTTTCTGGGAGGAGCCCATGTTCTATGCGGCCGTTAAGACGATTGAGGAGGATGTAAGTGACCATCCTCCCTGCAATGTTTTGTAACACGATTCCTTCGTAATTATCACGCATAATAGTGGCGTCCTTGCATTCCTGAGAAACCTGTCATTGCCGTCATGTATAATGGAAAGCGATGAGATTTTGTGTGGCAGCCAGCAGCTAAATCTACAA